CCCGCCTAGCCGCGCTACGAGGGCCGCCCCCCTGCCCTCACTCCTAACGAGAAAGCAAAAAAGTAAGTAGGACACTGGCCTTCAATGGCTGGAGGCGCGCGGCGGCGATGCAGGAGGCCGAGGCGCGCGCCGCTCGGCGGCCGCGAGGGCCGCGGCGTAAGACGTCGACGGTGGTGCGGTACGGCGGCCCCACGGCGGCCCGCGGCGGACTCGTCCGTGCGCGTCCCTCGCCGCCAAGGTGATCATCTCGGAGTCGCGATCGCCGTCATCGTACTCGCCGGGGACGTGGTCCGCGGGCGCACGCACGCGTCCGCGAGCATGTCCGCGTGCGCGTCGTCCTCGTCCTCGTCCGTCTCCCCGTTCGGCACGCCCATCAACTCCGCGCCGTCGGCGGGGTAAGTTGCGCGCGGCGTTCGTCCTAACGAAGAGAAGGCCCCTTACTGCTTCGACTTGGGCTTGCGCTTCGCGGCCCAGGCCTGGCCGCGCCTCGCGCGCGGCGGCGCGGCGGCCGCCGGGATGGCGACGGGCACGGGCGCGGCGGCGCGGGGGAGGCCCGCGCCGAGCTGGCCGTGCTGGCCCGCGCCGAGCGCGAAGACGGCGCCGGCCTTGGTCACGGCGAGCGTGTGGCCGGCGTCGCCCGTCGCGTCGCCGCCGGCCGCGACCTCGACGACGCCGCGGCCGCAGAGGCCCGCGATGCGCGTCGGCGTCCAGACCTCGGCCGCGGTCTCGTCGGAACTGTCGGAGTCGTCGGACGCGTCGCTCGCGTCGTCGCCGCTCGAGGCGCCGTCCGCGCCGTCGCTGTCGCTCTCGACGTCCTCGACGTCCTCGAGCTCCCCGAGCTGGCCGTCGGCGTTGGAGCCGAAGCCCAGGACGTCGCCGCCCTCGAGGAGGACGACGGAGTGGCTGCCGCCCGCGGCCGCGGCGACGACGACGGCGCCCGCCGGTAGGTCGACGCGCGCGGGCTCGAAGGCGTCGTCGTCGCCGCCGAGGCCGAGCTGGCCGTAGGAGTTGTCGCCGAAGGCGTAGAGGCTCCCGTCGGCGGCGACGGCGAGGGAGTGGTACTTGCCCGCGGCGACGGCCGCGACGGCGACCGCGACGGCGACGGGCTTCGGCGCGGGCTCCTCGGGCCACGCGGGCGGCCCGCGGCCGAGGCGGCCGGCGCCGGCGTGGCCCCAGCTGTACACCCGGCCGGTCGCCGTCGCCGCGAGGCTGTGGCAGGCGCCCGCGGCGACGTGGCGCGCGTCGGCGACGCCGGCGACGACCGCCTGTGTGCAAATCAACCGCCGGTTTGGGACGTCCCGACCAAACTTTGAGATTCTCTAGCTCGGTCAAATCGAAGTCGATTCTCCTGATTTTTGGACGGGTCGATTGCTCTCATTGAGTTCTCGAAGCACAGCGGATGTGCTCGTGTCAAAACCTTCGAATGCGCTCACGTTGAAGTCGGGTTGAAGGTTTGATTCGCACACGGACGACCGCGGGCGCCGGGTCGCGGTCCGGCCCGCGGCCGAGGCGGCCGTCGTCGCCGCAGCCGAGGCTCCAGACGCGCCCCGCGTCGTCGAGGCAGAGGGCGTGGGCGGCGCCCGCGGCGACCATGGCGACGCGGACGGCGCCGAGGCCGGCGACGGCCGCGAGCGACCCGGGCGAAAAGCCGCGGCCGCCGCCGTGGACGGCGCCGTCGTCCGTCAGCGCGAGGGAGAATCCCCAGCCCGCCGCCGCGGAGACGGCGCGGCCCGCGAGGCCGGGCAGGGCCCGCGGTGCGTGGCGCGCGCCCCGCCGCGGCGCGCCGAGCGGGTCGAAGCCGAAGCCGTAGACCGCGCCGTTGTCGACGACGAGCGAGTGGAGCGACGCCGCGACGCGGCCCGTGCGCAGGGCCGCGGCCCAGCTCCCGTCGAGGGCCGGCGGCCGCGCCGCCGGCGCCGCGCCGCGCCGCTTGAGCGCGGCGGCGAAGAGCTTCTCCGGGGCGACGCCGGCGCGCTCGAGGGCCGCGATCTGGTCCGCGACGTCCGGCGCCGCGTCGAGGAGCTCGCCGAGGCGCCGGATGGTCGTCTCGCGCAGCTCCGCGAGCATGGGCTCCTCCTTTTTTGACGGCCTTTTGGACGCCATCGTTTGTACTCTGGGCTGCCCGTCGCTTCACCTTGGCAAAGGTGCCGGAAAGGTGCCGCTGGCGACGCCTCAGTCGAAGCGAGAATGGCCGCCTGCACCGTGATCGTGCGCGGCCTCGGCGACGACAGCACGCACGAGTCGATCCGCTGGGTCTTCGCGGACCGCTTCGGCCCCGTGAAGCGCGTGGACGTCATCAAGGGCCGGGGCTTCGCCTTCGTCAAGTTCGCCGCGGAGGCCGACGCCAAGGCCGCCGTGCAGGCCGGCCGCGACACGGGCGTCGAGGTCGACGGCGTCTGGGCGAGCGTCGACGTCGCGCGCGACAAGGGCGCCAAGCACCCGAGCGCGCCCGCGGAGAAGCCCGCGGAGAAGCCCGCGAAGGCGCCGAAGCCCGGCAAGGCGGACAGGGGCGAGTCGAGCCGGTCGAAGCGCGCGCGGTCCGTGCGCGTCTTCGGCGTCGGCGACGACGTGCCCCAGAAGGCGCTCTACAAGCGCCTGCGCAAGGTCTCGGGCTTCGAGGCCGTCGACTTCGCCGCGCCCGTCGCCGCGGGCGCCGCCGCGCCCGCGGGCCGGCCCGCCGTCGCGGCCTTCAAGGACCTCAAGGCCGCCCTCGACGCCGCCGCGAAGCTCGACGGCTGCACCTTCAAGGGCCGCACGCTCGCCGCGCGGCTCGAGCGCGACGTCGACCTGTCCAAAGACCAGCGCGGCCGCCTCATCGTCCGGAATCTGCACTTCGGCGCGGGCGCGGCGGACCTCGTCGCGGCCTTCCTCGGCTTCGGGCCCCTGCGCGACGCGCGCGTCGCGACGGTGGCCGGGGGCGACAAGTCGCGGGGCTTCGGCTTCGTCGAATTCGAATGCGCCAGGGACGCGGAGAAGGCGCTCGCCGCGGCGTCGGCCGAGGGCGAGCCCTTCGAGGTCAAGGGCCGCGCCGTCGCCGTCGACCTCGCCGTGAGCCGCGGCGACTTCGCCAAGGAGGCGCGCGCGGCGAAGGAGGGCGCGGCGGCGGAGGACGTCGACGAGACGGAGGACGTCGACGAGACGGAGGAGGTCGACGAGACGGAGGAGGTCGACGAGATGGCGTCGCGGGAGGACGAGGAGGAGGAGGTCGACGAGATGGCGTCGCAGGGCGAGGAGGCCGACGCGATGGAGGAGGACGACGTCGACGAGGCGGAGGACGACGACGACGACGAGGCGGAGGAGGAGGAGGAGGAGGACGACGACGACGAGGACGACGAGGAGGAGGAGGAGGAGGAGGAGGACGACGACGAGGAGAGCCCCGCGCCGTCGTCGAGCCCCGCGCCGTCGTCGAAGGCCCCCGCGCCGGCCCCGGCCGCGCCGCCGGCGGACGTCGGCGAGGGTCGGACGCTCTTCGTGCGCGGCGTGCCCTACGGTGCCACGCGGTCGGCGCTCGCGGCCTACTTCGGCGAGGCCGTCGGCGCCGTCGCGTCCGTGCACCTCCTGAAGGACGCGGCGACGGGCCTCGGCACGGGCGCGGCGTTCGTCAAGTGCGAGTCCGCGGCCGACGTCGCGGCGGCGCTCGGCGGCGACTTCGCGTTCGGGGGCCGGCCCCTCGTCGTCGCCAAGGCCGTCGACCGCGGCGAGGCGAAGAACCTGCGCGACGCGGACCGGCTGGGCCTCGCGAAGAAGCGCCGGCTCGACGGCGCGGGCGACGGGCGGCACCTCGCGCTCGCGGACGAGGGCCTCGTGGCGCGCGGCGACGCCGCGGCCGCGGGCCTGCCCGACGGCGACCTGAAGAAGCGCGAGCGCGCGCGCGAGGAGCAGCGGTCCAAGCTCAAGAACCCGCTCTTCCACGTGAACCCGCTCAGGCTCAGCGTGCGCAACCTCGCGAAGCACGTCGGCGACGCGGACCTGAAAGCTTTGGCGCTCGGCACGCCGGACCTCGACCGCGGCGCGCTGGGCGCCTGCAAGGTCATCCGCGACGCCGCCGCCGGCGGCAAGGCGTCGGGCCCGTCCAAGGGCTACGGCTTCGTCGAGTTCGCGGACCACGACTCCGCGCTCCG